CCTGCTTCTCCCTCTCCCACTCCCCCTGCTTGTGTTCCCTCTCTCGCTGTGTCTCTCTCTGTCAAATAAATAAAATATTTAAAAATAAATAAAAATAAAATAAAATAAAAAATAATATCCGCCCAATGTGGGGCTCACACTCGTGACCCTGAGATCAAGAGTCGCACGCTCCACCAATTGAGCAGGCACCCCCCCATATTAAATTTTTATTAAAAAGTGGTTCACTTACTAATTAAATTAAAACTTGGACTTCTTGCCTTCTGCTCTGAAAAGTCAAGTGGTTTCCTTGAATCATCTTGGTGTTCTGTTAGGGAGTAATTCTAAAAGATGACATTTTTTGTTGTTTTTTTGTAAAGTATGAACACCCAGTATGTTACAGTCCTCTATATCTTGTCTCTCTCACACATTTTCAAGCACAGAAGTTTCCTGGGATGGTTTGTGAGACTTTTGGTGGGAGAAATGCAGATTTACAGAGCTGGTAGAGACGCCCCGAGACAGACGCAGAATTCTTGAGGCGATCGCAGTGTTTGGAGTCAGGATAAGGATCATGCCCGCGCACCTCGGAGCCCTCCTGGGGGTGCAGTGTCCCCCGAGTGGGAGACCACCTCACAGAGCAGGGGGCGGCCTCGGATTGTCTGAGAAGCTCTGGGACTTCACTGTTTTTAGGGGGCGATGAACTCTTCCCAGAGTGACTTAGGAACGGGGTCTGTGTTTCCTCGACCACATGACCCCAGCCCCTTTCAGGAGCCCTTAGGAAGTACTGCTCGCGGGAGGCTCCTCAGCCCGGGCTCTGGCCCCGAGACCTTCCCGGCCTGCCTGCCAGGCACCTGTGTGTGGGGGGGGGCTGGTGGTTGCTGTGCCCGGTTCAGGCGTGAGGCGTGGGCCCGGTCGGCCCCGCTCTGAGCTCTGACTCTGCCGCCGCAGCCGCCTGCCTTGGGGCCTGTCCGTGCTCAGGTGACACAGCGAGTGAGACGGCGAGGGCTGCGGCAGGAGCCCTGGAGCACGCGGTGGCGGGGGGAGGGGGGGGGCCTCCCCAGGCCTCCGTAGAGCCGCTGCTCCCGACACTGCCCCCAGGCTGCTGCCGCTGCAGGCAGAACGGGCAGGAAGCCTACCTGTGCGCTCTGGTTCTCTTCTCCCCTTTCTGACCTGGCTTTTGTCTCCTTAGGGAACTGCACGTGGGGAATGAACTGTAGGTTTATACATCCTGGAGTCAACGACAAGGGCAACTATTCCTTAATCACCAAAGCCGAACCTTTCCCGCCTAATGGTGCCCCGCCTCTTGGACCTCACCCACTGATGCCTGCCAACCCATGGGTGCGTGAACACCTCTTTTCTTTAACCGCTAGCAGATGGGACATCTAAGCTCTCTGAATCTTCAGCTTACAGCACATTAACACACCTTGTGTAAAAGGCACTTCTGTGACGTCACACAGTCACTGAGTCGCCTTCCAGATGCTTCCGTGTCTCCATGTGGAGGTAATTCTAGATTCAGGCAGGGCAGCGGGTCAGGGGCCAGACTGAGGCTCGGAGAGCGGGTGGTGTGCAGCCACGAACGCTCTCACTGGGGTTTTTGCTCCCGTTTCTTTATAAATTTTAAAGTTTTGCTTGCTTTCTCAACTTTTTCCTTCTCGTTTTTTAATAGGGTGGGCCAGTAGTTGATGAAATTTTGCCTCCACCCCCTCCAGAGCCCCCCACAGAGAGTGCCTGGGAACGAGGACTCCGGCACGCGAAGGAGGTAACCAGACAGCCCGAGAAGAAAATGCTAGCAGCGCTCCTTGAGCAAAAGTAGCATTTCTTTGATTCAGAGACAAGGATTGAAAACCCAGTAAAGTCTCTGAAGTGAGGATATATTTCTCTGAGGAGTTACAAAAGGAAACTGATGTCTGTCGATGTCTCCGCGGTGCGCGAGGTCACAGCACACAGGCCTGCTGCCTTCCCGTGGCTTGGGCAGCAGCAGCCCCCACAGCCCAGCCGCCGGCCGCCCAGTGCCCCTCCCCGGAGACTTAGCCAGGGGCCCCTGCCTGTGGAGGAGCTGTCCTCTTCTGAGACCGCCCTCCCCTCCCTCCCCGCTCCCTCCCTCCGTACTGTGGCCCTGGCGGTCAGGCTAGTGGTCCGTCGGCACCAGGCCTGCTTGCGGAGCCCCCACTTCTCTCCAGGGAAGTGAAGACTAAGACAAAACCCTTCTCCTCCCTCGCTCAGCACACACCCCACCACCCCTCCTTTCCTCTGAGACTGGAACCACTCCATGTGGCTTTTATGCCACCAGCAGCCTCACCTTCCTCTCCACACTTGGGCTTCCTCACCGAGTGACTGTCTGGGGCTTCCCAGCTCACTGTCAGGACTATTTCTAGGAGGTGGCCAGCTCTCTCACCCCTTTGTGGAATGTGAGCGAGCTCCGTGGCACTACTGAGCGGGCCTGTCCTGACTGCCAGGTGCAGTGACCGCGCGCTCCAGGCCCAGAGCTGAGGTGCATCTCCCCCACCGCGCATGCGGGCCACTCGGCCATGGTGGCCGGGGCTCCACGGGTCACACCAGGACAGGCTTCCTTTTGCTTTTCTAAACAGTAACCGGCATTGACTTCTTCTTACAATGGTAGGTTTTAAAAAAAGCAACCATTCGAAAAGAACAGGAGCCTGATTTTGAAGAGAAAAGGTTTACGGTGACCATTGGTGAAGATGAACGGGAGTTTGACAAGGAGAATGAAGTTTTCCGAGATTGGAATTACCGTATCACCAGAGATGTCCGAGACACAGTGTAAGAACAGTTCTGTCTCTTCCTTCCCTTTTGATAAAGTATTAAGTTGTCCCCAGCTGTGTGAGCCCGGGCTCTGGAGAGCAGAGGCACATAGGTTCCCTCAGGCATTGCGGGCCTATGCTTGTCCCCTGTCCTGGACTAAGAATGGCATCCCCAGGATCCTTTCAGACGCTTTGCATGAACTTTCCTTGGTTTTTTGCTCCGTGAGGAAGGGTGTCAGCTCTGCCAGGGCCGTGCGCCTGGGGAGGGCTCGCCTCCCTGTGGGTCCCTCTGAGCTCGGAGAGCTTCTACAGGTGTTCTTGGAGCCTTGTTGGTCTGCCTCTGCCCGCCCTCCAGGCCCCCATAAGACTGTCACCAGAGTCCAGGAACTTGGCAGGTGTGACCCTTTTCGTTGTAAATGCTGTCTTTGTTGTTTTTTCTCCCAGATGTTTTACTGCTGGTCTTTTAGAGACTCATTACCGAAGTACACATGGTAGAAAACCTAAGTCAGGGTTTTAGAAATCGTGTAATGTTAAGTAAAGCTCTCATCTGCCCGTGCTCCGGTTGCAGAGGAAGGAAGGCCGGCTTCGTTGTGCTCCCCTCTGTGGAGCAGAATTAGGCAGGTTTCTCCTGAGCAGCAGCTGCAGTGTGGGCCCAGGTCACAGGGATGGCGTGGCATTCGGCCTGTGATCAGAGCCGGCTTCAGCATCGTGTCAGGATTGTAGCGACATGCGTTCATGCTTGCTTCCGGGAAGGCCCCGTCGCCGGGCTCTGGCTGAGGTGCTGGTGGATGGCGCGGAGGGGAGGGGCTCCTGCGGGGCTTGTGTGTCAGGACTCCGGCGCCCTGACCTGCTCCCGCCAGGCTGTCTCAGGACCCTCCTGTCATATGTACAGAAAGGAGGAGAAGTGCTTTGGTCCACGCCTGCCATGGCAGAGAACAGCTCAGAGGTCGATGCGTGGAGATTGAAAGATGGAGTTCAGACCTCTGTGTTTTGTCATTCTGGGTATGGAGTCGTGTCAGATCCCGGACAGGAACATGGGAGTCAGAAATGTCTGCTAAGTCGTGCGGCTCCCTTCATGTCCTGAGGCCTCGTATTTTCCTTGTGTCAGATGCCAGTGATCATCTTGCCTTGCGGGGGGTGGGGGGGGATCCCGGGAGCTCTGGTGCGGGGCATGTGACTAGCACGGAGCAGAGGGTGCTCCCTGAGTGTGGTCATTCTGAGCCCTGAAAGAAAAGGTTTAGAATCTCAAGGTTCACCCTTGCCACTGTGTTTCCCAGCCCTATTTGGAGCGGGGACTTGAACACGTGCCTCCTGAGGACCATTGTGGCGAGTCTGGGTCTGGGCCTCCCACCTTGCACTTGGTACTGGGCTGACGCTGGCTGCCGACTCCGCACCTCCTCTGCTGGGGGCGGGGGTTCCCCGCTGCAGGGCCTTCAGCCTGTAAAGCCTCTGAAGATGGGCCTTTGAGCCAAGTTCTCACTCGGGTTTGGTGTTTGAACATCAGGGCCTTGGGGCTGATGAACCAGGGCTTCTGCGACACTCGTGGGCCAGGCCCCAGCCAGACCTTGTCAGTCAGGACCTCCGGGAACAGGGTCCCAGCGTGGGTCAGGGCGGAAGCCACCTCTGCTGTGTCCGTTGGTGTCCACTAAGCAGAGGAGACCCCCCCCTCCCCCTGGCTCTTGTAACGAAGAGCATGTAACGTAAAGACACGCTGTCTACTAGACTCTGGGAGCAGCACCCTCAGGAAGCAGCGCCCCCACCCCTGCAGGGAGGGAGGGGAGAGGCTGGAGGAGGTGCTGGGAGTCCAGCCACTGAGGAGGGGACGCTGGCCAGCTACACTGACGTCTCTGAGGTGGGCGAGGAGGCTGGGGTGCAGGAGCCCTGTGGGCAGCGATGGGCCAGGGCCAGGACAGAGCCCTTGTCCACCCCGGCCTCACCAGCTCCCAGGGCACCTGCTGTGGGCCAGCCTCACACGGAGCACTTGGCAGAGAGCGTGCGGGGCAGCTGAGGCACCAAGCAGGGAGCTTAACAGCAGTTCAAGGGCCAGTGATGGAAAACTCAGAAAGCCCAGCATTACTAGTTCTTTCCTAGGAGCCTGTAGCGTCTCCACTTTGGTGCCCAGGTGCCCCTCAGCCGGCAGCGCAGCAGGCCTGTGACCAAGGTCCCTGTGTGTGCCAGGCGAGGGGAGGGGGGCACAGGCCCGAGGGCTGAGCTCCGGGGGTGGCCTCGGGACCAGCAGCACACCGGGCCGGGGGGCTTGTCAGAAATGCCCCCATCCGAGCGTCAAGGGCGGGTGGAGCCCAGCTGGCTGCTAACAAGCCTTCTGGGTGATTCTGCTGCCCACCCACTGAGGTCTGAGAACGTGGACATCCGTTCCCGGGACCTGGGCTCCCTGGCCTGACGCTGAGGGTAGGGATGGAAAATTCTGAATCGCTGTCACGTGGTGGCGCCTGCTGGCCTTATCATGGTCGGGCTCCGGTAACACGGAGCTGGGTGCTTCGTTGGAGACCCACTGGGGAGGTGCCTGCTCAGGAGCTGTGAGGAAGCTCTCTGAGGTGGCATAAAGGACAGGAAAACAGGTGTTCTCTTTATGCTATTATTTGGAATTAATTTGTCCAGCAGGATCATTTGGTAAAAATAGTGCCTTTCTAGACAGACCCCAATTCATAGCTTTAGGAGCTTCTTTCCACCACCTGAGGCACTTTATTCAGATGCCGACCAACTCATGGGATCTGACATGCACAAGACATTAAGAAATGTCATCTCAGGGCGCCCAGCTGGCTCAGTCAGAGGAGCACACGACTCTTGATCTCGGGGTCATGAGTTCAAGCCCCGTGGTGGGCTTGGAGCCTACTTAGGAAAGGAGGGAGGAAGGAAACCTCTCTGCACAGGCTGCTGGGGTGGGGTGTGAACCCAGAATGCTACGCTGAGCCCACAGGACGGTGGGAACTGGCAGACGAGCCCCAGGGTGTCAGCTGCGAGGAATGGGTCCTTGGCGGGAGCTGTCAACAGCAGTAACCTGGGCCTGGGCTGGAGCCCTTACCGGTGTGCGTCCATCGAGCTACTGCTGTTTGCGCAGCCGGCTGGCCGTGCCCTCCGGGTCTGAGCAGTCCCGCAGGAGAGGGCCCGTTTACACCCCGCTTACCCAGTTTCCCAAACACGAATCGGCAGGCACAGCCCTCCTTTGAGAGAACACACACCCTCACATCCGCTTGGGAAAGGGCCCCTCAGGGCCTCAATTGGCTGAAGATGGTGCTGGTGCCTCGGGGGCCGCATTCTCTCTTCCGTTCTGGCTGCAGCAGGCCTCTGCCATTCCTGACCCCTGTCTTAAGTACGATCTGAGTAGTGTGGGGCTTAGGTGCTTAGGAAGATGTCTGGCTGCTTGGAATGAAAGAGAGCTGTGTCATCCACAGAGCCAGCCTTGGGGGGGCCTGCCGGAGGTCCTGGACGAGCCGGGGGGGAGGCCTCCCAGAAAGCAGCCTGCTGGAGGCCATCAGGTGAACCAGATGCTCTGCCTGGCGTAGGCCTAGGCGGCTCCCCAGAGCAACACCTCTGTGGGTTGTAGGCACCTCGGTTTCCCCCACCAGCTTACTCAAAGGGGAGAGTTGGTCTCGAGCCAAGAAATCCCTGTAAGAATGCCCACGTGTTGCTGGGTTTACATTTCCTCTTTCCTCCATCGGGGTCCCAGACATCCCCAGGGCAGGTCCTCTGGGTCCGTGGGTAAGGTGGGGTCTCCTCACCTTCCTCGCGGAGGTTAGTGGTGGTTCCCTGCGGGAGGCTCCTTTATCCTCCCTGCTGGGGTCTGTCTCTGGGTTTCCTGTCACATTCCTGTGGGCCATTCCTTTCCTCCCCAGAAAGGCCTTCTACCGTGGCTTATTGTCTCAGAGGGCGTGTCTTTCTTGGCTGGTCTCCCTTTCCTCTGTCTCCCTGTGCACCTGAGAGCCAGCTTGTCTAGCTTCATGCAGAAGCTCACTGCTGTTTGTACTGGGATTACCCTACGTTTATTAATTAACGGACAGACAGCTGACTTCTTGCCAGTGTCTGGTCATCCTGACCCAACACAGGGAACATTGTCTCATTTATTCACGTGTGTTTTTGTGTCTTTCCAGTGTTTTCTGTGTTTGTTTTTGTTTCAATTTTAGGTAGTTAACATACAGTGCAGTATTGGTTTCTGGAGTAGAATTCAGTGATTCATCACTTCCATAGAACACCCAGTGTCATCCTAACAGGTGCCCTCCTTAATGCCCATCCCCCATCCAGCCCGTCCCCCACCTCCTCCCCTCCAGCAACCCTCAGTTCTCTATCCTTATGAGTCTCCCATGGTTTCTCTCCCTTTCTGATTTCGTCTTATTTTATTTTTCCCTCCCTTCCCTTATGGTCCTCTGTTTTGTTTCTTAAATTCCACATGCAAGTGGAATCATGATAATTGTCTTTCTTTGATTGACTTATTTCACTTAGCATAATACCCAGGCACCCCAAATGTGTAGATATTTTAACAGTGTTTGTTCTTCCAATCCATGAGCATGGAACATTTTTCCATTTCTTTATGTTCTCTTGAGAGTGTTGTGAAATTTTCCTCAAATACGTTCTGCTCGTTTCTGGTTAAATGAACTTTGTTCCTCAGTATTTTTGTTTCTTGCTTACTGTTGTAAATGCAGACCACTCTCTCTCCCAAGCAGTGAGTATTTGGTCTCGGTCTGCCCCGCTGGGTTCTTCTGGCTGCTTGGAGTGGCTTTACTGTGCCTCAGTTTCCAGGTGTAGATCTTTTTCCTTTTCGCCCAGTCTCTGGCCTCCTGGTTGTGGCTGGGCCTCTGTCCCACCTCCTGGAGGCCGTGGCCTCCTCGCCTTGGCCTGGCCTTATAGAAACGCCCCTCTGTGCCCATGGCTTCAGTCCCACAGTGCACACATATGTGTGGTCACATTAGGAAAGCGCCACCTCCACTTCCCTTCCGTTTTGTCACCAGGAGTGGCTACTCTTGTCCCAGTCATTGCTACCATCTGTGGGTGCAGTCCTGTGATTTTTCTCTCTAGGTTTGTCATGAATCTCCTCGTATTGGCCCAACCTTGCACTCCTGGAAGAAATCCCACTGAGTCATGGTGTCTGTTTTCGTAACGTGGTGTCGGATTCTGTTTGCTAACATTTTATGTAATGTTTTTGCATTAATATTCCCAAGTGGCAAGATTTACTTTTCCCGGGCTCTGTTTTCAGACTAGAGCCTTACGCAGACCCGTATTACGACTATGAAATCGAGCGTTTCTGGCGTGGCGGGCAGTACGAGAACTTCCGGGTGCAGTATACGGAGACGGAGCCGTACCATAATTACCGGGTAAGTGGGATGCAGGTGTGCACATCTGAGCTCACTGGGCAATTCCTTAAAATGATCCCCTTTTTATTTTATAGGACTTCATACGGTCTTAGTCCTGTGTTGGCAGTGTGTCAGTTTCAAGCCTAAATTAACTGCGGAGAACAGATCCACAGATTGAATTGGTAGTGGTTTGAACAGAGACTTCCTTTAATTGACCTGTAGTCCTGCTATGTTTTTTTTTAAACTTAGGTTTGCCGATTGGGTTATTAATATTAATATAAGCTTGCATGGGAGTGTGTTCCACCCTCCTGAACAAATTCCTCCTTCAGACTTCTTAGTAATACCGTTTATAATTGTGCTGTCCCCCTCCATTTTCATAACCTGGGCCTCTCCCCAGCTGTGCCACGGTGGTCTCCTGGAGGACTATTCTGTATTGGTATTTTTCGATGAACGAACATGTTTCAGTGTTTTGAGTCCCTCATGTTTTCAGAGTGGTGGGGAACCTGCCGCTGAGAAAAGGTCTGGTGGGAGCAGTGGGGCGGTCTTTGTCCTGTGACTCATATGACAGAGTTTTGAGTTTTCAGGACCAAAAGGAAGTGACTGCCCTGGGAACCCATGGGTGGTGGGACCATGGTTGACCATCCTGTGCCTCTCTCCCTGATAGAGCATCGGTGGGGCCAGGCTGCCGGGGTACGGGTGCCGCAAGCACCCTTTCCGTCACCTCTCTCCCCCACCATGTCCGAGGATGCGGGCCAGGGAAAGAGCAGGAACGTGCTTCATTTCCCCACAAGGCCACCTGGAGCCTAAAACCCGTCTTCGTGCTGTGATTTGGGCTTTATTGTTTTACCTTTGAATATTAGTGGAAATGAACGGATGAGTGCAGACTGGTTCAGAAAGATGTTCAGGGGTTGTGCATAGGAAAGCAAGGGCCACCACTTTGGGGCGCGCCCTCTGTACCAGGCTCCAGCAAGCAGAGTGCTTTGGTCCAAGCCCACGAGAGGCCTTGCCAGGTCGTGTCCACCCCTCACTGGAAGGGCTGAGGCGGGAGGCAGGTGGTGCTGAGCTGTTAGGTTGGGTCCCAGGCTGGCCTCTGGCTCGTGGCTTAACGCTGTTTTAAGGAGAAGCTTGGGAACAGAGTGAGCACTTGAGATCGTTCCCCGTGGCCTTCAGTGTGCCGCCTGCACTTGGTGCCAGGTGCCACCCAGCACGTGTGTTTGGCTTTAGGACCGGGAGCGCGAGCGGGAGCGGGAGAACCGACAGCGGGAGCGCGAGCGGGAGCGGGAGCGGGACCGAGAGCGGGAGCGCCGGCAGCGGGAGCGTGAGCGGGAACGCGAGCGGGAGCGTGACAAGGAGCGGCAGCGGAGGAAAGAGGAGTGGGAGAGAGAGCGAGCCAAGCGGGATGAGAAGGACCGACAGCACAGAGACCGCGACCGGGAGAAGGAGCGCGAGAAGGAGAAAGAGAAGCCGAAGCCCCGTTCCCCGCAGCCGCCAAGGTAGGCCATCCGCCGGCTGGGCTCTGGGATGGTGGCCCCGGGCCCGGAGAGGAGGGGGCTCGCCAGTTGGTCACAGGTCCTGTCTGCTTCCCGTGGCCCGGTGCCTGCAGTCCCACAGTCGTGGCTGGGAAATGGTGTTTTGAGGGGCAGGTGCCACCCCGTCCTGTAGTGTGTGTGTTACGGTGGAAATGCGCACCAAGAGCTCCTTATCATCACCCTAAATCAGGGAAGTTGTGAATTCCCAGCCCCCCTGCTTTGGCAGAGGGGGTGGGAGGTTGCCGGCCAGCGGGTGGCGCTCTGGGGTCTCGTGCGGAGGGCAGGCCTCCGGTGAGCTGGCTGGCTGGGTGCTAGTGATGCTGCTGGACTGCGTCCGGAGAGCTGCCCGGGTGACCACTGGGGTGGGCGCTGACCACAGGCAGCACAGAGGGGCCCAAGGGGCAGGGCAGGTTCTGGGCCTTCATACGGCACTTGTTGTTTAAAATACAGACAGGGGATGCCTGGGTGGCTCCGTCGGCTGAGCGTCCGACTTGTGATTTCGGCTCAGGTCGTGATCTCAGGGTCTCGGGATTGAGCCCTGCGTCAGGCTCCACGTTCAGTGTGGAGTCTCCTTGAGATTTTCTCTCCCTCTGCCCCTCCCATCACTTGCTCCCTCTCTTCCTCTCTCTCTCTCTCTCTCTAAAATAAGCCTTTTAAAAATAAACAAAATACATGCATATGTATATTTGAGTGCTAGAGCAGGACAGGCAGTCCTCAGAAAATCATGGAATTGGAGGAAGCTTTGTCGGTGTATTTACAGCCTCGTGAGATGAAGTCTGCATGTGCTGCGGCACCTCTGTTCAAAGTGGCCGGTCAGTGGTGTGGAGTGCGCTCCTCTGTGCCTCCAGCAGAACCTCGTACTCAGTATCCCCAAACGCCTCCCAGCCCCTGGCAGCCACTGGCCCACTCTCTGTCTCTCTAGGTTTCCTTACTCTGGACATTTCATATAAATGGGATCACACAACATGTGGTCTCTCGTGATTGGCTCCTTTCCCTTGGCAAGATGCTTTCCGAAGTTCACGTGTCCATACTTCACTCCCTTTTGTGGTTGAATAATACTACGTTGTGTGGATGTGTGCATACAACATCTTGTTCACCTGTTTGTTGATGGACATTTAGGTTATTTCTACCTTTTGGCTATTGTGAGTATGAGCATTTGGGTACAAGTTTTTGCATGGAAATCGTTTTCATTTCCCTTGGGTATACACCTAGGAGTGGAATTGCTGGGTCATGTGATAACTATGTTTAACCATTTGAGGAATTTCTAGAATCTTCCTACGTAGCTGCATCAGTTTACATTCCCACCAGAAACGTGTGAGGTTTCCTATTTCCTCCAGATTATTTATTATTGCCCATCTTTTTTTATTATAGCTGTCCTACTGGGTATGAAATGGTAGCTCTCCGTGGCTTGATTTTCATTTTCCTGAGCATCTTTTCATGTGCTTCTTGGTGTGTGTTCTTTAGAGAAACGTCTATTCAGATCCTTTGCCCACTTTTTTATTTTATTATTTGTTCATTGTCTTTATTACTGAGTTGTATATATTCGAGGTACAAACCCCTTGTCAGATACCCAACTTGCACGTGCATGCCCCTCTCCATACTTTGCATTGTCGGTTTTGCTTTCTTGATGATGTCCTTTTTTTTCTTTTTTTTTTTTGAGCGAAAGCCTCTTATTTTATATTCCAGCTTTATTAGATGCACTTGACACGTAACCTTGTACAAACCTAAAATGTACAGTGTGATGAGTGGATAGGCATAGTGCTGCCGAATGGTCTCCGCGATGAGTTACCACCAGCATCGCCTCACGGAACTGCCTCCTCCGTGTGTGGCGAGAACAGTTAAGATCGACTCTCTCAGCGGCTTTCCGGTACTCAAGACAGAATTGCTCGCCCAGCCCCCGTGGTGTACACGAGATCCCCAGAACTTCCTCACCTTATAACTGGAAAGGTGTGCCGTCTGACAAGCAGCTCCCCATTTCCGGCACCCCGGCACTTGGCCGCCACCATTCTGCTCTCCGTCTCTCTGAGTTCCGCTCAGATTCCACATGGAAGGGAGCATGTACAGTGAGAAGAGAGAGTCTTTCTTCGTCTGACTTACTTCAGTTAGCCTTGTTTCTCAGGGCCCGTCCGGGTCCTCACAAATGGCAGGATGTCCTCCTTTTTATGGCTGAGTAATAGTCCGTTGTGCGGCTCACCCCCGTTTTCTCCGTCCGTTCACCGGCCCGTGTGCTCCCGTTGAGAAGAAGGCTGAGGAGGGCAGCGGAGCGCAGGCGTCTCTTGTTCTCATTTCCTTCAGATACTCACCCAGAAGTGTGCTGGGTCGCACAGTAGTTCTGGTGCCTGAGGCTTCCCTTTCCTCACCCTCCCTGACACTGTTACCAGTTCAGCTTTGGATGACAGCCATTGGAAGAAGGTGGGACGCGATACCTACCTGATAATTAGTGGTGGTGACGCATCTTTTCGTGTACCTGTTGGCCATCTGGATGTCCTCTTTTGGAAGATGTCTGGTCAGGAAATTGCCCATTTTTAAATTGGATTGCTTTTGGCAGTTGAGGTGTATGAATCTCTTACGTATTTTGTATGTTAACCCCTTATCAGGTGGATGGTTTGCAAATATTTTTTCTCATTCGGTAGGTTGTCTTTTCATTTTATTATTATTTTCTTTTTTTTTTTTAAAGATTTTATTTATTTATTTGAGAGAG